GGCTCAGTAATAGTTTGCCCTGGCTCAGTGATAGTCAATGGAGGCAAGGTCAGGGTTTGACCTGGCTCTGTCACAGTTAAACCAGGTAAGATAATAGTTTGACCAGGCTCAGTGATAGTCACTGGAGGCAAAGTCAGGGTCTGACCAGGATCTGTAACAGTCAGGCCGGGCTCAGTGATAGTCTGGCCCGGCAAGGTTATGGTCTGACCCGGCAAAGTCAGGGTCTGACCCGGCTCAGTAATAGTCTGACCAGGCAAGGTGACAGTCTGGCCCGGCTCGGTAACGGTAGGACAGTCTGTGGGCGAGACAGGCAAACCGCTTGACCCAGGAATCGTGATCGTGATGGTGCTGACATCTGTCAGACAGTCGGTGGTTGGCAGGCCAGGCACACCGCTGGATCCAGGAGGGGCAGTCGTGATCGTGATAGTAGTGACATCCGTGACAACGGGACAATCAGACGGCGTGATAATGGGACAGTCAGTGACCGTGACAGGAGGGCACCACTCAGATGTGGAAGGGAGTGGGATGATATTTGTTGTTCTAGATAGGATATTAGTATACCTGTCTTTCAACCTGGGTTTGCAAATGGTACTCACGGCTGGGATATGCTGGTTCCGGTGGACGATTCTCCAGCACCGCCAGTGTTACTACCACCGCCGTTGCCGCCATTATCACCTCCAGGGCCACCGGTGCCGCCACCGCCATTGCCGCCATTATCACCTCCGGGGCCGCCAGTGCTACCGCCACCGTTGCCCCCGTTATCACCTCCAGAGCCACCGGCACTGCCGCCGTTACTACCACCGTTGCTGCCACCAGTGCTGCCGCCGGGGCCGCCAGTGCTACCACCGACATTGCTGCCGTTGTCACCGCCGGGGCCACCGGTGCTGCCACCAGTGCTGCCGTTATCACCCCTAGGGCCGCTGGTGTTGGCGCCATTGTTGGCGCCGCTATCACCCCCATGGCTGCCGGTGCTACCACCATTTTTGCCGCCGTTGCCGCCGTTACCACCCCCTAGGGCACCGAGGCCAGTACCACCGTTGCTGCCATTGCCGCCATTGCCGCCGTTACCACCCCCATGGACGCCGGGGCTGGTACCATTGCTAGGGCCTTGGCCGATCTCCAAAGAGCCAGGGGGATGGGCGCCACCGGAGCCCAGGCCGCGGTTGTCATCGCCCGGTATGACAACGGGGTAACAAACCTCTACCACGTTGACCTCATAACCGGGAGGGGGAAGTTCGGCCCCGGCGGGACGGGCAACCGCAGCCTGCAGAAACAAGGCTGGGATGACGAATGCCGCCTGCCGAACCATTGCGACGCGAGGTATGTGACAAAGAAAACAAAGTAACGCCGCTATGGCGGGCTGTGGCTGGAGGGGAACAGTTCGAGAAGGCCGTCTGGTGCAAGGGCTTGAAAATGTGATCGATGAATGGAAGCGGGGGTTTGAGGTTGGAAACAGAGGTCAATCATGCGGTTTATGAGCTTTGTTTTGAGGGGCGAAGGATGGTTGTTCTGGAACTGTTTTCAGCGTTGCCTGACTCGATTGTTTGTTTCCAGGTAGCTGGTATATAGGACCATGACGTGAGGGAACCGCGTCGGGCGAAAGATGCGGACTGGTTCTTGTCCGCATTGTGTTTTGGGGGTATATGCTTCGGGACTGCCTCTGAACATGTGGGCATAGAGATTCTGTGGTGAAGATAGCCTGCATGCTGTTTTCTATCGCATACCTGATTGTCCCACGAAAGCGAACAAGGCAATAATAGTCTGGGGTATGTGAGAGCATGTGCACGGCAATAAGGTGGCTGCTTTTGCATACGATCTGCGGCGGAGGCAAAGCAATAAACAAACCACAACAACTCGACCTAGGTCCACCGGAAGATATTCCCGCCCATTCCTTTCTTGCCCCTTGAACTATGCCGAGCCGTCTTCGACAGAACTGACCCGGCAGTGAGGGACGTGGCTCCCGCTCGCAGTGAACCATGATCAAGCCAGGGGTTGGAATGCGCATTCCGCCATTCCAGAAGGCAAAACCTAAGCTGCGCAGCCAATTGACTCATTGAGAGCAGATGGACAATTAAAATCACGACTATTAAATTATTGCTACCGTCCGGCTCCTGGAAATCATTTCCGCCGCACCTTGCCGATTTCCGACCAATCATAGACGAGGATGACTTCACCAGTTGACCTGCCGCCATGGTCGTTGGATGATGTCTGTCGAGTTCCGCAGCCGGTATTGCAGTGGCGAGGGCCCCCGCAGGGGCAATCATGATCTGCAGGTGCACGGCCCAGGCTAATCACAGAATACAAGTAGACAGGTGCGAGGGCAATCATGAATCGCAGGAAGTGGGTTCACATTACAAGGCTTCAACAGCGGGAGCCAGGACAAACGACCATGTTCAGACATGCAGAAGACGGAAAACACCGACTGGAGGAGACCATTGGGTGACTATGCCAACAGGGCATGAGACGCAGGGCTACGGTGCTGCAAAGGGACAGATGCGCACGGGACCAGGGTAGTAGCATCCACAATTCTATACTATAAATCATAGGTATCGAGGGGGCTGCCCGAAGATGCGCCACGCAGATGGAGAGCCAACAGATAGTGTATGGGAAGAAGGGTATGTGACGCCAATCGTAGAAGGGAAAAAAGATCGATCATTGACACGTATATCCACAAGAGAAACAAACGTTGAAAGGGACTCTCCCTCCCGCCTGTCAAAGGGGGAGGGACAGAAGCCGGGGCAGCACCGGCGAGACAATTCGACCGGAGACCTACCCGCTAGGGTGGTGTCGGGGTCTGGCGGACTTCCGGTTCGTGAGGATGGGGCCGGTCGCGGGCGCGCATGTACATAGCATCCGACGGGCTGTCAGACGAGGATGGGTCCATCGGACGAGGGATCCCAACCGACGGCGGCGAGGATTGTTGCTTCTGGGCGAGAATTTCGCGGGCGTAAAAGTCCACCAGCATCGTGCCGTACGCCTCAAGTTCCTCGACCGGAATAGAGAGGCGGAAATCGTTGAGGAGGAGGAACTGCAACTCGAGATGGTTAAGCTCCAACAACGGGAGGCCTCCGACCTGCCGAGAGGTTAGTTCAGGAACATGAGCCAGTTGTCACAAGAAGATGGGGGGGTACCTTAGCATATCGCGAATTAGTATAAAATACATCGGAAAAGAATTTACTGGCACAAGTCACGCCCGCGATGACCAGCCGGTGGATGTTAAAACTATCGACAACGAAGAAATGGGACAACGGGTCCTCTCCATCCTGAGGATGCAGGGACGGGGATATACACGAGGGGGTCGAGGGGTCCTGCGCAGCCATGGTTGCCGACGGCGGCGGGGTCACAATCGGCGACGTCTGCGCCGAGGACGCCCCCGATGGGGCGGACGAATCGGACTGGATGGGGGCGGTACGGCGCTGGAGGCAGCCCACTTGGCCCTTGACCAATTCGGTCATGCGATCGAAGTAGACCAACATACTGAGGAAGACCTCGTACGTGGTGGGGCAGTATTTGTGGATGCGCGTCAGGTAGCTCAGGATGCTGATGCTGGGGACGTTCTTGCCGTGGAAGGCCAGGACGCTGGTGGCCTGGGGACTGAGATTCGACGCGCCATCGGCGGGGGGGATGTGCCGATGGACCTGTTCGTGATGCGCGTCGTTGGTGGTGGTGATCTTGGTCAGCAGGCCCGCCACCATCTCGATGATATCCGTGACAGGCATGGAGCTGATCTCATATTGCCGGTCCGGCACCCAGGCCCCCGACCATGGGTCTCCCTGGCGGGGGGCGAGGAACTCCTCGCTGGCCAAACTCTGGATGTGAGAGAGGTCGCGGACCTTGATGCGGCTGGGCGAGCTCGCCTCCGAACCGCCCAGCGAGCGCAGGGACCGGAAGGTCGGCCGGAGCCGGGGCGACGCGGGGGAGGAGTGACTGGCCGGTCGCGACGGGTCGGTGGGTGCTGGGGCGAGGTCGTCCACCGCCGGACGCGTGGTGTAGTCGACAGGAGGTCCATGGGCCGTGGGGTGTGAGGAGCGCATCGAGGTCGGGGGATTATGCAGGTGGGCAGATCCGGGGTTTACGGACGCCGACCGGGACGAAGAGTGCGAGTGGGCGGGCGTCGGTCGGTTGATGTAGGGAGGCACATCCTGCTGCGGGTGGGCAGCGAGGCGAGCTGAGCCAACCGCAGACGTTGATGGCGGGGCGGCGGACGAAGTGGGGGTGGTATTGGACGAGGGAGTGGATCTAGAGCTACCGGACTCCAAGTGCGATGGCGGATTGGATGCAGGTCGAAAGCCAGAATCCGATGGAGCGATGGCGCCGCCGAGCATGATGGAGAGGGAGCTGTGGAAATCCTCCGATGGTCGATGATTGAGGACCCGGGATCCCATGTCCCGCGGGGGAAGTTATACACGATGGAGATGACTAGACCAGTTGGCTGGGAGGGTATGGTCAGCGATCGCGATTCAGACGATCTGTTTTGTGTGTATTCTCTTCGTTTCCCTTCTTTTTTTTTTTTCCCGCCCTTCTTTGATCTTTTCGTTGAACTCGTCCACCCGAAGCGACCAGACGAGTGATTTCAAGGAGTCAAAAAGACACGACCGATGGATTCAGGAGAAGAGGAAGAAGAGGGACAAGGCTCCCAGTTGCGAAAAGGACAAATCGGACGCGACCCCAGGCCACAAACGAGGGGAAATCATCAAACGGGAATGCAGGATGGACAGGGTCCCGTCTAGGCAGAGTCTGAAACAGTGGAGCACAAGAAGGCCAGAGCACACCAACATACCTAATGGGAATTGAGGGGCGCCGCGAACCCAACCCAGGCTGATGCGGGTTCAGGGAACTCACTGGCGATGAGCGGGTGAAACGTCCATTGCGCGAGAGGAATGGATGATGAATCTGGATCGGCCCCTCTCTAAAGGAATGGAGAGAATCAAGGATGGGATGAGAGAGGGGATGAAGTTAGAGTAGATGGTTGATGGAGTGAGGTGAGAGAGAGAAAGAGAGTTGGGAAGAAGAGAAGTGAAGTGGAGGAAGAGAAGAGAAGACGGGTCGGTCAAGTGGACTGACCAGAGACGGCAGAACTCAAGAACCGGTTTTTGGTCCTGATCCTCCATCGTCCACTTGATATGGATTAGTGATTGAAATTTTTGGGTATTTCCCTTGGAAAATGCCAGACGATATTTTCTTCATGAAAAGAAAATCATATTCAGTCCCTACGGAGGGTAGAGACGCTGTACAACATACATATAGTAAGCCGGTCTACTCTGTATACAGTGTCCTCATAGTGGATCCCATACATACAGATCATAAGATTCATGTTGAATACGACTCTTAATCTCAATCCCTGGCTCTTTTCGTACTTTTATGTAGATGTCCAATCTCTCAATACAACGGGTCTTGCACCCACTGCTCTGCCGTATTCAGACCTACTTTTCCTGCGGCATCCTCAAAAAAGACAGACTGCACTCTGCGCCATGGATGCCCGGACAGATACGATGACCAGCGCCGAACGTGTAGACGTCGCGCTACAGCGCATCCGACTCTGATCGTCCTCAACATAGCGGTTCGAGTTGATTGGGTCATGGTGGATGGCACACACGTTATGCACGATATCAGCGCCATTCGGGGATGGGATATCCCAGGTACTCGTCGTCCTGGGTGACAGTGTGCGGCACGGCACCCATGATTGTCGTGGGCATCCAGCGGAGGGACTCCTTGATGTAGGCCCGGACGTACGGTGGGATTCTGAATCATGATAGAATACAGTGCCCTGGGGCTATGCTACATTATCATCATTGTATGCAGTCAACCCGATTTAAGCAAATAACAAACTGCATTCCCGCCTACTAAATCCGATATGCCAGAAACCGCGAAATCAAGCCTTGAATCTGACCTATACTCGTCTGGCTATACTTCTCCAAGGTGGAATCAAGAAGCCCGTCCTCAACACATTCCGGTTCTAGATCTCATTGCAGAATATCAGTATGCGTACCTCACCATGTAAGTACCATAGGCCGACAATTCTAAGATTCCGTCTCGATTAGCCCTAACCATCGATCACCAGCAAAACAGGATGCCCTGAATACTGGAAGAATTCCAACTATATCTACTATGACGACGCAAAGCTTCTAGGTTTAATATTACAGTCTATTGACTCTGCAATCCCCCACCTTTGAAGCCCATTTCCCGCTGGATTTCTCAATCAGGAGCAGAGTGGAGTGGGGTAGAACATCAAATACAATCAGATTAAAAAGTAAGACACAAGTCCAAAAAGAATATCACCCATTCAACGTAACAGTCTTCGTCTGCAAAAACTCCTCCAACCCCCACCCAGCCCCAAACCGTCCCCACCCACTATGTCCAACGCCCCCGTGCGGCAACGTCGCCTCATCATGCACCGTCATAGCATTAACATGCACAGCCCCAGCATTAACAGAAGCCGCCAGCCCCAGCGCGCGGTGATGGTTACGCGTGAAGATCGCTGACGACAGCCCGTAGTCGAACTCCTGGATCAAGGCCGCAATGTCGTCCTCGTGGTCCACGGTGACCATTCCCAGGACGGGGCCGAAGGACTCGGTGTGGAAAAAATCCATGGATGGGGTCACGCCGCGAATAAGGGTTGCTGGGAAGTGGGCGCCGTCGGTGGATGTTGCGGCGGAGTGAATGCTTGCGCCTTTGGTGCGGCTGTCAGAGAGGAGGTTCTCGAGCTTGGTTTTGGCGGGTTGGGAGATGACCGTGTGGTTGGTTTTGATGGTGTCTAGGAGGGCGAGGATCTTTGACTCCAGAGCGGAGTTGATGGATTTGGAGCTGATGACGAGGTCGGTGGACATGCAGATTTGGCCGTTCTAGTCGTTTCAATCAGTCAGGATAGGATCTTTTAATGTATCAAGGAAGAAGGATAACTCACGTTCAGAAATGCACCGCGCACGATATGCTCAGCCGCTAGATCTAAATCTGCATCGTCCAATACAAGAGCGTAATTTTTCCCTCCCAGCTCCAGCAAGACCGGTTTCAGCGCCTGAGCCGCCCTGGACGCAATGATGCGGCCTACGGCAGTCGACCCGGTAAAGTTGCATTTCTTTACAGCACGCTGCGTGATCATGGAGTCATAGACGTCTGATGCGTCCTCGGGACGATGGCAGACATAGTTGACCACACCAGGTGGGAATCCCGCCTCGCGAAAGAGCGATGCGAGCATGTAATGCGTTCGTGGGCTGAGTTCTGATCCCTGTTGGCACATTCAGCATCTATTCAGGCTAACTTTGAATAGCCAACTCATGGAAATGCTTCCACTCACCTTGAGAATCGCCGTATTCCCAACAGCGACAGGCGCAACCACAGCCCTGAGCCCAAGAATCACAGGTGCATTCCACGGCGCAATTCCCAACACAACCCCAAGAGGTTCCTTCAAGACCAATCCATACGATCCCTTGTCCGTCGCGGGGATACACCCCATCGTAGAGGTAGTGATGAGCGCTGCCGTCTCCTCAACAAGCTCAATACCGCCTTGCATGATGATGTGGGCCCAGAGCTCGCCGCAGTGGATTTCTTCATCGACGAGCTTCTCTAGCTCTGTTGCGCGCTGGCGCAGGACCTTTTAGCACCGCGTTAGTCTTGTCATACATCATGCCCAGTGCGACTAAAACTTACAGTAGCAAGCTGTAGCAGCTTCGCCCGTCTCTCTTGAGGTCTCGTCTTAGACCATGATGCGAATGCACTGGCGCTGGACTCGACAGCCTTGATGGCGAGCTCTGTCGTCGCGCCTTGGAATTTAGTCGGTCCGTTTGGTACCGGGGAGGCTATCTCCCCTTGGTACTTTCCAGTTAAGACAATGTCTTCTCCTCCAATTATGAGAGGAACGATGTCCATGTTAGACATGTCGTATGCTGCGGGAATGGGTTTCTTCTGGTTTAGATATCGACGAAGAAGTGATCACTCGGATTCGAAGGGTACCCAAAGATGATCCCCCCCCCCAAAAAAAAGAAAACCCCTTCGCTTCATTTTGCGAAAAGTGCTCAGCTCCCCACGGTGGAGGATTCGGGTTTAACTAACGCTTATCCCCGACTGGAGAGGTAGTATTTGAGGATGGAAAATGATATACCCCATGACCAGTATAGGAATAGGGTGCGGGGAGTGGGGAAGTAGTTCGGCAATCTGGTACGGTAATTCTTGGACATTATATGTCAAGACTTGGGACAAGATGCTTATATACTAGCAATCGGAGCACTTCTACTGTATAGTTTAGTTTTAAGAGATGTTGCTACTCCCAGAGACGGAGAAAGTACACTACTGCCTGGGGATATTGTATATAATCGAAGCTCTCCCCACACTATCGGTGGTTTGCTATGATCCAGACTCAATGCGCCGTGATATATCGTGTGTATATATCCAACATGGAAATATGTATGAGTTCAATTGACCAAGTACGGCCTCAGGCAATAAATCTGCAAAAGCCACGATTTCTGACGAAGGGCCACGCACCCAGTCTTCTTACACCCTTTACAAGGATACGAACTATTTATTTGAATCTCATCATTATGGTAATCGTCGCTACAGTATGTCTTAAGTGACTCCCCAGTGCGTCTGGTGTCGCCATTCCTCTACCTCTACGTGGCCGTCCTCTCCTAAGACCATCTCCCGCCATGCTGGATATTTTGGGACCATGATATATTCGCAGAAGAGGAAGAGGAGGAAGAGGAGAGCAAGAGGCTAACACCAAATCATCAAGAAATTAAAACTGATCATGCCATAGGATTATTTGGTAACGCCCGGTGCCGTATAACCCGTGTCGGGCAGGTAAAGATGCCTCACGGCACCCTTGGCCGTCAGCACCACCAACCGGATGACACCGCCCGAGCTGCCATCCCATTTGATGGCCTCCTGCAAGGCGCCCCGGACAAAGCTGATCCCTTCCTCCTCCGTCATGTTCTCCTTCCAGTGGTTATCGCAGTAGCCGTAGATGTAGGTCGAGCCGGACCCGCCAATGGAGTATGCTTGCTTGTGGAGCGATCCTCCGAGGGGAATCTGGTAGACCTGACCACCGTGTCGGGGGTCGTATCCAGCGATGATGATGCCGGCACTATTGAGTCAGCAGGGGGACACTCCCCCGAATAGAGAGGTGTTGATGGCATACCTCAACATATCTTTGTTCTCGTAGCACAGCTCCTGGAAGAGCGACGCCGCCACCTGGGTGCTGGGCGCCTCGTTGTTCGTGATGGCGTACATGTTGAGATGGTAGGAAACAATGTCGGCCACGGCCTGGGTGTCGGCGGCGGATCCGGATCGACAGCACCAAATGGTGTCATGAACCTGCGTCAGCTTATCGGTGACTCGATTGGCGATATAGGCTCCGGTGGTTGTCCGACTGTCGGCTCCTAGAATCACGCCGTCCTTGAAGTTGATTGCCATACTAAGGTGGTCGTCAATACGCTGTCGGTTGTTGGGATGGTTCGTCGCACTCACATCGATGTTCCTAGGCTGTAGACGGAAGGGTTAGCAAAAGATCGGTTGCGCAGGATGGGAGAACGTACTTGACCTCTCCACTCTTCAAGTGTTGCATATCAACGTGAATGCCATCTACATTCGAACCGGTCAGTTGCGATAATGTGATGTGATGGCTATGGATGTCCGACCTTCTCCCAGCACGCCCGTCACACCGTGAGCGTTGACCATTTTCCCGAATGAAGTGGGGAATTTTATAAATTATGAACGTCTTTGTGTATCTGAGAAATGACCCTTGACACACAATGTGATTGAGTCAAGAACAGAAAGAAGGGGAATGGAGGATGGAGATGGAGATGAAGGTGAAGTTAACCAGGTAGATCGATAGCTCTGACGGAGCTTCGGACTGCGGACTGAGTAGGCGCCCGTGACTTACGTTGGAGTCCGGGCGGTGAGCGTGTTCCCCCACTGACGGGATTCTTAGGATTCTTAACGCCACGGCCAGAACTACTTTGTACACTACGACTCTACTCCTGCTCTACCGAGTACTGCCTCTGCCTAACTACTATTACTACGCACCACTCTACTACTCTACTACTACTCTACTACTACTCTACTACTACTCTACTATTACTACTATTACCACGTCCACCACTATACTCCGTACTGAGTAGATACCAGGTATCCATATAGACTACTACTCCGTACACTGTCCCCTTCTCTTCCTCCACTAATCTCTCCACCTAATCTCTCCTCACTTTTGGTTGAATTGTGTCAGATATCTGGCCTGTCATATTCATACTCTTAGGGGACGGTTGTGTTTACTATACCGCCTCCTGCCTTCGGTCGCTTGGCTCGCGGGGGGAATATTCCCCGTTCTCTCCTCGCTGTTCCGTTCAATAATGTCCGAATCTCCACCGCCAACCCCATCCCCACATCCACCGGCTTGGAGTTTCAGCAACATGGCCAGCAACGTCGTTCAGTTTCTTCGCTTGCCTGTTTTGGCGTCGTCAGGTCTGGCCGTTTTGGCCAGTGGTTTATTATATTTCAAGCAAAAGTCGGTACCTACTCACGAGGCCTGGGGGACAAACCCCAGTAAACCCATACGAACCCCAAGACATACCCCCCCGATGAACTCCCAGACGACCCCGTATCTTCCCTGAGGCTAACAGCGCGACCATAGTGAACTCATCTACCCTCGCAACGTCCCCGTCGACGCCCGCACCAATGTCCCCAAGCCCCGTCAGTTCGGCATCACCGACTACGAAGAACTCCAGATCCCCACCCCCGACGGCCAGTCGCTCCATGCCCTCTTCATGCGCCCTTCCAACAGCCGCGTCAATCGGAAATTGACGGTCGTCATGTTTCATGGCAACGCGGGGAACATCGGTCACCGCATCCCCATTGCCAAGGTCATGCAGGACGTCCTGGGCTGCCACGTGCTCATGGTGGAGTACCGCGGCTATGGACTGTCGACAGGTGTACCGGATGAGAATGGGTTGAAGATTGACGGACAGACGGGCCTCGACTATGTGCGACAACGGGCGGAGACGCGCGACAACAAGGTCATTGTCTATGGTCAGAGTCTGGGAGGTGCGGTCGCCATCCATCTGGCGGCGACCAACCAGGAAGATGGCGTGATCGCGGGTCTGATTCTCGAAAACACCTTCCTGAGTATTCGGAAATTGATTCCTTCGTATGTTTGTGACCTGGGAGTATGAAAGGGCTGGATCTGACGTGGTCTAGGGTCTTTCCGCCGGCGAGGTATCTCGCGCGCTTCTGTCATCAGAACTGGAACAGCGAGGAGCTTTTACCCAAGATCACCTCCATGCCCATCCTATTTTTGAGTGGGTTAAAAGACGAAATCGTCCCGTCAGTACTCCTCAAATCTCGTTCCCCGTGGACACGGCCTGACTAACGATCTGCAGCCCCGAAAACATGACTGCGCTCTTCGCGAGCTGCAACTCGCCCCGCAAGAGATGGCGCACGCTGCCAAACGGGGCCCACAACGACAGCGTCGCCGAACCGAATTACTTTGACCACATTCATGACTTTGTCATGGAGGAAGTCGTCGGAGACGATTAAGAGTACTTAGAGATACCCAGCCTATTCGGCGTCCTTTTGATGGAAGACCTTTTGACGCCGGTCCGCGAGTTCAACTTCCATCCGCAAGCCTTGTATTCCTAGTCTGATACAATCACCTAATATCCCTCCGCCCTGTCGTGAACCGACATGAAATAATATCCAGACATCCCATCTTTCAATCCATTTCAAACCCGGTTTCTTTCTCTTTCATCCACATGGGCAGACGCGATTCAAACACCCATCATTGTCTACCGGTCGAGTCTGGCTTTTGTGCAAGTGAGATGATGTCCAGGTCATTTACTTCGGTTGTCACGAGTCTCATCTTAGGATTCACGAATAGATCCACGACTTAGAGAGCTTCTTCTACACCACGCTGTAGTCTAAGATTCATCGCAGAAGCACAGTCTGTTTCGAACAGTGTATAAATACCACACCCTCTGACCATCCACCCACATCGTACTTCTCACCTACGGAGTAGACAAATGCACAGATATCTCCGCCAAGTATGCGGGGAAACTAGATCGATCCTGTTTCACGTCACCCTACCCCGGCAATCGCCACACAGGAGAAACCGACACCGTGAGATTTAGCCTAAATGTCTCCCCCGAGCGCATTAGTACATTCCCCGTACGGAGTAGAATCAGTTCAATCACCTATAATAGATGGACGGCATATTCCCGGCCATGACTTACTACACTATTATCCAGCTCTTAGCCGGCACAAAGCAAGCCCCTAAATGAGATGGGGATAATTTTCCCCGTCGAAAGATTGGGGTAGACAGGCGATTCCCTTAAAAGAGCAGGCTGCGCCGTAGCTAGTATACTGGACATGCGCAATTGCTCTCTCTCTCCCTCGACGAGACCTAGGGTAAAACCGCCACCATGCTCCTCTCAGCCCTCCTAGCAGCAGCATGCGCCGCCAAAACCATCTACGCCCTCGGCCAAGACCCCGTCATCTCATTCAAGCACCAAACCGGAGCCCTCCAACTATCCGGACCACACAATGAGCCAGGTATAATCCTCCTCGACGGCGCCGACTGGCCAGGCGTGATTCGCGCCGCGGACGACCTAGCCACTGACTTCGGGCGCGTCAGCGGGTCGAACTACACCCGCACACTGATGGTGAACGGCACAGCGCCGGCCAGTATCACGCCAGGCAAGAAGAACAAGCCCGTGATCATCGCCGGCACAATCGGCAAATCGCGGCTCATCGACAGCCTCGTTCAAAAGGGCAAGCTCAATGTCACGGACACGGAGGGCCAGTGGGAGGCGTTCCAGACGGAGGTCGTGCGTGAGCCGATGGCGGGGATCGCGAGCGCGCTGGTCATCGCGGGAGCTGACAAGCGTGGCGCCATCTACGGGTTATACGACATCTCTGAGCAGATCGGGGTATCGCCTTGGTACTGGTTTGCGGATGTGCCTGCTGCGCGACACGCGGAGATCTACGCGGTCAAGAAGCGCAAGACGCAGGGGTCGCCGTCTGTGAAGTACCGGGGGATATTCATCAACGACGAGCAGCCTGGTTTGACGAACTGGATTAGAGAGAACTTCCCAGACGCGAAGTACGGGCCAGGGTTTGGTGCGGATTTCTACGCGCGGGTTTACGAGTTGTTGCTGCGACTGCGTGCGAACTACCTCTGGCCTGCGATGTGGGGAAATGCGTTCCACGTGGATGATCCGGAGAATTCAGTCACGGCAGACGAGTACGGCGTTGTGATTGGGACGAGCCACACGGAGCCGATGATGCGGTGGACGAACGAGCAGTCGATGTTTGTGGAGGGCGACTGGAACTGGGATACGAACGAGGCGAATATCACTGAGTTCTTCAGGGAGGGCGCGCAGCGGTCGAAGCGGTTCGACAGTCTTTATACGATGGGTATGCGGGGGTTGGGGGATAACGCCTCGCCGACTATTACGCCCGACTCGCTGAAGGATATCATTAACGCGCAGCAGAAGGTACTGGGTGAGGTGTTTGGCACGGAGGACGTGGCGGATATTCCGCAGTTGTGGTGCGTGTATAAGGAGGTTGGCCAGTACTATCATCAGGGCCTGCGGGTGCCGGACGATATCACGCTGCTTTGGGCGGACGATAACTGGGGGAATATTCAGCGTCTGCCGTTGGGGAATGAGACGGATCGGGCCGCTGGGGCTGGTGTCTACTATCATTTTGACTATGTGGGCGATCCGCGGGATTATAAGTGGATCAACACTATATCGCTTCAGAAGACGTGGGAGCAGATGCATCTTGCGTATGAGCGGCATGCGCGGCAGGTGTGGCTTGTGAATATCGGGGATTTGAAAGGATTGGTATGTTCAGTAGCTGGCATGGACCCCGGAACATGGGTAGGGCTAATACGACATTGCAGGAGCATCCCCTGAACCACTTCTTCGACATCGCATACGACATGCCACGGTGGTCAGCTCCGGACAGCACGCACGAGTGGCTCGAGCATTGGGCGCGTCGCGAGTTCGGTGCCGCGTTCGCAAAAGACGTCGCTAGTATCATGGACCGCTATGGCATGTACGCCGCGCGGAGAAAGTACGAGCTGATTGACATGCAGACGTTCAGTCTGATCAACTACGACGAGGCCGACAATGTTCTGAGTGGATGGAAGCAACTTGCGCAGGACGCGCAGAAGGTGTACAGTCGACTGAGCGAGGCTGCGCGTCCGGCGTTTTTCGAGCTGGTGCTGCACCCGTGCACGGCTGGTTACGTGGTGACCAACATTCATATCACGGCGGCGAGAAACAATCTATATGCTAGTCAGAGGCGGACGAGTGCCAATAGTCTAGCAGATGATGTGCTTGGTCTGTTTAAGGAGGACCACGAGCTGACGACACGATACCATCGTCTGTTGGACGGAAAGTGGAATCACATCATGGATCAGACCCATCTGGGCTATGATTACTGGTGAGTACCTCACCCACACTATAAGTTCATATCGGCTGACAGTGACTACAGGCAACAACCGATGAGGAACACTCTCCCACCGCTTGCATACACCCAGCTGCTGGAAGGCAGCGTCGCAGGCCCAATGGGCGTCTCAGCCGAAGGAAGCAACGCGACTGTCCCAGGCGACGACACATGGCACGACCTCTCCAGCAACACCCTCACCCTGCCACCTCTCGACCCATACGGACCCAAGAGTCGGTGGATCGACGTGTTCTCGCGCGGCACGGAGGACTTCACATTCACCATCACCACAAAGCAGCCATGGGTCAAAGCGAGCCCCTCATCCGGCAGCGTAACCGCCACAGGGAAGACCACCGACAAGCGCGTCCATCTCTCCGTCGACTGGGAGAACGCCCCCTCCGGCTCAACCACCGTATCCATCGACATCGCCCTCGACTCCAAAGACTACGGCAACTTTGGCATGCCGACAATCGAGCTCCCCGTCAACAACACCGCCGTCCCAGCATCCTTCCACGGCTTCGTCGAGTCCGACGCAACAGTCAGCATCGAAGCCGCACACGCCACCCGCAACACCTCCACGGACGACACCTCCTACACCGTCATCCCAGGCTACGGCCGCACCCTCTCCGGGGTGACCCTTCTCCCCGTTCTAGCAGACACACAGGCGCCTCCGTCATCTCCACGTCTCGAATACGACATGTACCTGTTCTCGAACACCTCAACCGCCAAAGCAACAGTATACCTGGGTTCATCGCTCAACACGGACCCCTCGCGACCGCTGTCGTATGCGATTGCGCTCAACGACGCGAAGCCTGAAGTTGTGCAGTTTGTGCCGTCGACGCCGCTGGGCTCTTTGCCGTCGAATTGGGAAACGACCGTTAGTAATGGGGTGTGGTCAAATACGACTAGCCATGCTGTTCTTGGGGGTGGGCAGAAGAATACGTTGAAGTTGTGGGCCGTTGAGCCCGGGGTTGTTTTTCAGAAGGTGGTTGTTGATTTGGGGGGTGTTAGGGCTTCTTATTTGGGGCCGCCGGAGAGTATGGTTGTATAGATATATTTCAGTCTCTGTACTAGAGATATTTGTATACGGTAGTAATATGACAGCTTTATTGTACAACATCTATAATTCAGACATGTATGGAATAGTAATTACTATCTTATCTTATTTCAACTTCTATTCATTCTAATTGTTTCTTCTTCAGGAAAAATTGCACATAATCGTCCATAATCGTCCATCAATAACTAGCAAGACATGATGCAACATACTGACTAATCAACGTATAACACCACACGATCCTCCACCGTCATAAGACGTTCTAGGAAAGCCCATGAACCACAATACTTGTCAAGATCTCTAGTCCGACTCCTTCAACTCCTTCCACACATGCGACCCTACAATTCCCAACCGAATAGACACCTCGTCTCAAGCGCCTCCAACTACTGGTCCTGGTGACCTGCGCGAACCACGATATCATACTACCCACCTACAAACCCCCTTATCTATCCTCCCCGACGATCCCGCCCATGGCGAACCGCCACATCACCCGGCGCATACTGCTCAGCGCGATCGGCCTGCTTTTCTTCCTGTTTCTCTTCTTCGTTCGTCCGCAGGGGCCGCCCAGTCCTGCGATTCGCGCCCCGGGACATCTCGACCATTCGGCGGCGGCTAAGCTCACTAAGGATGACCTCACGCGGGGAGAGGTGGTGATGCCGCGGCTGGGGAATGAGACTGCGAAGTGGGTTCTTCACTTGACTACTTGATTGTCGCAACAAATGCAATATAATACAGTAACTGACGGAATCTGTATCGAACAACAGGGCAGAACTAGGTCGTGCGACATGGAAATATTTCCACACGATGCTCGCGCGGTATCCGGAGAAACCGACGACAGAGCAACAGGAGACATTGCGCTCTTACATTTACATGTTCGCGCGGCTCTACCCGTGGTATGTGGTGCGATCGCAGGTTTATAATCTTATTCCGTCCACCCAGCTGACCGTGTGACCCTTCCAGCGGCGAATGCGCCTCTCATTTCCAGGGCCATCTGCAAAAGTATCCGCCGCAGGTGTCGTCGCGTAATGCGGCTGCTGGATGGGGGTGTTTCATCCACAATGAGGTTAATGTGATGCTGGAGAAGACCGAGTTTGACTGTAATAAAATTGGGGATTTTTATGACTGTGGGTGTTCTGGGGAGGAAGACGGAGATGGAGACGGAGATGGAGACAGCGAGGGCGTCTCGCCGAAGAAGGAGAGGGATGCAGCAGGCGCTGGGAATCCGTCAGAGGAAGGGCAATGATGGTGAGAATCCATGGAACTATTCGTGTTCGCCCTATCTGTTCTATCTTCCTTGCGTCTTCCCCGCACGACAGGCTGCTGACCAGACGGCGATCATTAGGACATTTCGTACTTTTTCTTTCTTTCTCCCTCTTTCTCTCCCTTTTCTCCCCCTTTTCTTTTTCCACCTGCATTCTTTTTCTTTCTAGCAATTACTATCCTCCGGATTCCAATCCTGTCCTCAGGACAAGTGGCTCGGGCATTCAAGGATTGTACCAAAATCCGGGGCGGACACCATTGACTGGCGCGGGATCGCTTGGAAGGGTCTGCTTGTCTGCCAGCGTAAGGGATTCTTGTCCCGTCTGGTTATGGATCTGGATCCGGACTGGAACATGTACGTGTGCAGATCTTTGTATGCGACCAGTTTTGGGATCTGGGATGTTCTGGGCGTCTCAAGGTGTAGCATGTGATTGAATTTGGGGGTGTTCTTGATAGAACAATTCTTTGTACATATATCTATTTATATTATATTCATGTATCTGTTTATATCTATATTTATATCTATATCTATAATTATACTTTTTGATATGTCCGCGCTTATACATAAAACTAGAACCACAACATCCCAAATAAAGAACATAATATACTATACAAACAACCTATAAAAACCAAGCCATATGACTCCCTCCATCTCATCACCCAATCCATGACCAGCGCGGCTGACCAGCCCTGGCCGTCGGCACCACACCCTCCCTCCTCCCTCCGTGACCATTGTTTCATGACCACCCGACAGTGTCTGTGATCAGGGATGTTAACCCTCTCAACAACCGAATGACAATGTCCGGTCAACCAGGAGGAGGCTTGATGGAAGATGAAACAGGAGTTCTCGCTGGGGAACGAAACAGGATCGGTTGTTTGGTGATACCTTTAGGGGAGAGGATGAAATTGTAATTTTCCCTGTCGGATTGATATATTGGCTGGAGGAGTATACTCTATTTGATATCATTCTTTCTTATTCTGTATTCTGTTCTATATCCCTATTCATATCTATTATATCTATACCTATCTATCATATCCATCTTATCTATCGATCCATCTCGTTATCTATAGGTGACGCCTTGTTCCCCAGGCAGCAAACACGTCCCAAACCGGACTAGCGCCGCCTCTATCTTTTTATCGCATTTTTTATTTTTATCTCTATTTTTCTCTATTTTCCTTCAGTTTTGCTTCAATTTTACTTCAAAGTTCTCTCCATTTGCGACGGATCAGTTAGATCTCGTTGCCTAATTTAATACAGTTGACTGACTTGAAAAAGGTCCGGCAAGGCGCGACATCTGACCTTCACTTCATCTTTCTCTCCTCTCACCCTGCGTCGTATAACGCTTCCCTTCAGTCGCAGACTCTCGTCGCGTTCAGACAACAGATTAAATTTCCTGGTCGCCTTTCTCTGACCACTCGACCTTCCATTACCTTTCATAAATACTCTCGATCGTGTGGTCGCATTTGGGCATCACTCGGTCTAGTGTCTCCCCCCCAGAACAACTCGTCCGCCCGATTCCTTTGACGCCATCTCCCCCTCTCACCGACTTCTTGCAACCCAACCAGAGTCGCGCAACGACTCAAGAGCGGGGTCAACATGGTCTCTTTCTCCTGCGAGGTGAGTTGGTACCCTGCGTGGGACTCCGTACAGGGTGGTGAATCGCTTATCCACTACCAACGCATCCCTTCCCCCATCCCCACTCCCACTCCAGTCAAGCGCCTCGCCCTGACCGACTATCGCGGAACTGACACGATCGGCTGGGTTGCAGAACTGTGGCGATATCCTCACCAAGAAGAAACTCGATCCCCATCGCAATCGCTGTCGTGGTTGCACCTTTACCTGCATTGATTGCATGACCCATTTTCGGGGCACGGAGTATCGGTCGCATACGGTATGTCCTCCTTTCCTATGGTCGTGGATGGCTGTCTCCCTTCGGAACTAGGCGGAGTGCTGGTCGCGCGTGTCCATTACACTTGAAACCGGATGTTTCCTCGTCGCTGCGAGTGGAGCCCCGGATCGCGAATGGGGTCCATTCCTGGCCAGCCACGCCGGCACTGAGTGGGGGATGACAGCTCCGACGCCCTGAGATGATTTGGTCCGTAGACCGAATACTGACTTGGCTTCCTTGTTCCAGACGTGCATGACGGAGGCCCAAAAGTACGAGGGGTCCCTATATAAGCCCAAGCCCGAGAAAAATCAACGCCGCAACAACAACAACAACAACAATAACAGCAACAACAATAACCAGGGCACGAACAACTCCAAGCAGGCCCCTAAACCCTCCAACGGCCATCGTGCACCCTACGTCGAGGACGCTCCTGATGCCGACAACGCCGCGAGCAAAGCCGCTCCCCCGCCGCCTGCTCCAACACCGCCTCCCACTGACACCAAGAAACCGACCCATGCGACACCCCGCCAGAAAGGCGCCGACCCCGTTAACGTCTTCGATTTCCTTGTGACCTCGGAGACACCCAACGCGTCCAAGGTCACCGTAGGTGGTCCTAAAGAGCAGATGAAAATGGTGGATCACGCCCCGTCTGTCTTTGAGACCAGCCAGGCCATGGCCGAGTTGGGAGCCGACGCCGATGGCGGCGACGACGACGACGACGACAAAAATCACGACGTCGCCTACGCGGAGAACGGCTTCTCCTACGGCTCGGGTCCCATCCCGCCCTCGGTCTACGCCAACAAGGCCGCTCCCACCGTCTCCATGGAGTTCATGACCCCCGCCCCGAAGAAGAAGAAGGATCGCTCGTCGCGCACCGCCGATGGAGCGGTCACCACCAGCGACAAGAAACGCAAGCGTCGCACCGACGACCACGGCCGCGACGATGTCGACACCCCGATGGGAGAGGCCCCGTCCAGCGTCGTCAACCACCCGGGCACGCCCATGCTGAACCACTCCGGCCTCACCGGCGGGCTCAACCGCATGCTGCGGTCCCCGTCGCTCGACGGCGAAGCCGGTGATAACCCCTCGGACCACCCGCGCCGCCGCTACCAGGACCCGTCCTCGCCCATCAAGCGCACGCGCCGCGACGACAAGGAGCCCGCCGGCGGGGACGCCGGCCTAGGCATCTCCATGAAGAACCGAGCCGGCCGCCTCGTCTCCTCCATGTTCGGCGGCTCCGTCGCCTCAACCAGCAGCAACGGCACCGACCCCACCGCCCGCTCCGCCGCCCGCAGCAGCCGCCGCCGCGGCTCCTCCGACGACGGCCAGAGCGCCGCAGTCGACACCCGCTCCTCTAAAAAGACTAGTCGCGTGCGAGGCGCCCCCATCGCCGCCCCCGACGCCCGCAAATCCAAACGAAAGAGCAGCGCCCCCATCGACGGCGACCGGCCCTCGCGCCGGCAGCGCGAGATCGAGTATCCCGAGTCAGCACCCCGCGGTGAAGACGGGCACCAGATGATCGTCTACGGCCAGCCGAACCACCCCGACGCGCTGCAGCAGGAGATGGCGTCGCACTTCCTGTCGCTCGTGACGAAGGGCCCCGAGAGTGGACGCGGGTTCTCGATGAACAAGGTGTTGAAGCGGTTCCACCGCGACGTCACGGATGAGTTTGATGCTGATCGGGGACGGGAGACGGGTCGGAGCCGTGCGGACCGGGAGAGGCGCATGGATGATGAGAAGGAATTGTGGCGGACGTTACGGGTGAAGCAGAATGAGAGGGGGGAGATCGTGCTTTTCTTCTAGATTGGGTTGACGATTGACGATAGTTGATGAGATATTGATGCATAGGGGATTTGGGAGAGTTGGAGGCATTTCAGGCATAGCATTGTTTCAATTCATTGGTTCCATTAAGTATCAACATATCAGAATGCTCATCGAATGACTGAAATTAAATATAATATTGTATAATATAAAATAAAATAGAAATACTATGGATAAATGCATATGAGTAATAGTATGACTCACCCTGTATAGCACAAGAGTCATATCCAATCAGCGGCCGCCGATCCTCCGCCACTCCAACTTTTTCATTTGATTTCTTTTTATCGTTCTTTTCTTTCCTCTTCTTCTCTTTCTGTCTTTGAAGTTAATTAAGGAACCTGTGGTTCGCCCTTCATTCTCTCGAACTGGTTTCTAACCTACTTTCTTGTGGATTGTCATCCGTACTTGTTGCATACCTGTTGACAGCGTCCATCCTCGTGTTTACCCCTCGTTGACCGAGGTTGAACTCTACCACTACCTACCTAGCTACCTTCTTACCTACCACGACCCCACCATCCTACCGTCGATAACCGCATGAGTGCACCAAACAGCGCATCGCTTTCCCTTCCTTCGACAATGGCAGACGCCCCAGTGGCCATCCCAGACGGGAGCGCCCCCCGCCCGAGAAATCCCCGCCGAGGAGGCAGAGGGCGCGGCAATCGTGGCGCGCCACGACAGACGCAGACACGAACGGACTCGCAGCCGCAGTCACAACCGCCATCACAGCCACAGCCACCACCGGAGACTCGCGCGCAGCAGACACCCCCCACCGGAAACGATGAAACCCGTCCCCGCCGAGGTCCCAAAACGGGAGGGCGCAGAGGAGGCGCAGGAGGAGGAGGAGGTCGTGGGGGAGGCGCTCCCTCCGAGAGTGGTCGTAATCGTCGTCAAGGACGTGCTCACGACACTGATATGGGAGGTTTGAACACCGGGCGAAGGTTCCAAGGCCGGCTGACGCGGCCGGATCGTGTGGCGGGGGCGGAAGCGGAAGAAGGCGCTGAACAACAATCACAAGAAAACGGCGTGCCGGAGGGTTTGAGGGCTGATGCGCCGACTTTCGTACCCGGCGGGACGCCAAACGGAGACACCCCGACGGGCCCCCGGGAGAAATCCGCGAGTGCGTCCAAAGGGAAATCCAAGGCGAAGGTGAAAAACCCGCCGCCGCCGCCCAAGGTGACGACGAAATCAACGGCGCCGGATATCGCCACCCGCATCCACGAAGACATCGCTCACACGCTCTACGAATGTCCGATCTGCACGGGGGAACTGGGGCGGAGATCGCGGGTGTGGTCGTGTGGACTGTGCTGGACTGTCTTTCATTTGAGCTGTGTCAAGAAGTGGTCGCAGAATGAAGGCGCAGCGGCGCAGGATGCGGCCCGTCGGCGGGGTGAGGAGGGTGACTCCCAGCAGCCACGCGCCTGGCGATGTCCCGGTTGCAACTTGGCGCAGGAGGTCTTCCCCTCGAGCTACACGTGCTGGTGCGAGAAAGAGGTTGACCCCCGTCCGCTGCCCGGTCTTCCGCCGCACTCGTGTGGGCAGACTTGCTCGCGATTGCGCAAGGGCTGCCCGCACCCGTGCGATGCTACCTGCCACGCGGGTCCGTGTACCCCCTGTACGGCGATGGGCCCGACGCAGGATTGCTTCTGTGGGAGGAATTCGACTACCAAGCGCTGTCGAGACACCGACTACGATAACGGCTGGAGCTGTGGCGAGATCTGTGGGGACCTGTTGCCCTGCGGGGAGCACACATGCTCTCGGCCGTGCCACGAGGGTCTCTGCGGGGCGTGCGAGGTGAAGGTCGAAGCTCGTTGCTACTGCGGGAAGGCGGAGACGGAGATGCTGTGTAGCTCCAAGGACGAGGAGATGGACAGCGAGGTGCAGCGCGACGGGCATATCGAGCAGTGGACGGGCTGTTTTGCCTGCGGAGAGCAGTGCAATCGGCCGTTCGACTGTGGCGTCCACTTCTGCCAGAAGAGCTGCCACCCGCAAGACGCGGAACCCGCCCATTGTCCGCGGTCGCCGGACGTCGTCCTCGACTGCCCCTGCGGGAAGACCCCGCTGGACCAGACTCCCGGTTATACGCCGCGGACGTCGTGCGAGGACCCGATCCCGAACTGCCTCGAGGCCTGTGGCAAAATCCTCCCCTGCGGACACTCGTGCGACATGATCTGCCACACGGGTCCGTGCGGGGTCTGTCGCCGCACCGTGCCCATCAGCTGCCGCTGCGGACGCAACACGTTCAAGACCATCTGCCACCAGGGAACGATGGAGCCGCCGCAGTGCTTCCGCATCTGCCGCGCGGGGCTGCACTGCGGCCGCCACGCGTGCACCGAACGATGCTGCCCCGGGGAACAGAAGGCGCTCGAGCGCCAGGCCATGCGGCGGAAGCTCAAGGCCCACCTGCGCCCCAGCGACGAAGACGTCGAAGCCGAGCACATCTGCACCCGGGTGTGTGGGCGGATGCTGAAATGCGGACGCCACACATGCCCGGAGATCTGCCACAAGGGGCCCTGCAATACCTGCCGGGAGGCGATCTTCGAGGAGGTCCCCTGTAACTGCGGCCGGACGGTCCTCCACCCGCCGCTACCCTGTGGCACGCAGCCGCCGCCGTGCTCGTTCCCCTGCGAACGCCCAAAACCATGCGGCCACCCCCAGACACCACACAACTGCCACTCCGACGACGAGCAGTGCCCCAAGTGCCCGTACTTGACAGAGAAAACTTGCCTGTGCGGCCGCCGGGCGCTGAAGAACCAGCCCTGCTGGCTAACCGATGCACGATGCGGGCAGATCTGCGGCGAACTGCTCAAATGCGGCTCGCACACCTGCCAGAAGAACTGCCACCGACCGGGCGACTGCGAGGACGCCTCGCGGCCGTGCCAGCAGCCCTGCGGCAAGACGAAGACCATGTGCGGACACCCGTGCACAGAACCCTGCCACGCGCCATACCCCTGCCCCGAGAAGACGCCCTGCCCGACCAAACTCACAGTAACATGTCCTTGCGGTCGCCTCCGCCAGACGCGCCTCTGCGGCGCAGCCAAAGCCGTCGCCTCCAAAGGCCAACTCCAGCAACCCCCCCGCTCACCAGCCTCCACCCTACTCACCTGCGACGACGAATGCGCGCGCCTCGAGCGCAACCGGTCCCTCGCATCCGCCCTCGGCGTCGACATCAACCCCGCAACAACCATCGCGCAAAACATAACCTCCAACAACCTCCCCTACTCCACCGAAACGCTCGACCTCTACCTGCAAGCGTCCTCCTCCTCCCCGCTCTCCGCCATCCAAGCCTGCGAAACCAGCCTCCAATCCCTCGCGCTCAACCCCACAACCCAACGCTCCGTCCGCTTCCAACCCGCCAAGTCCTCCCTCCGCGCCTTCACGCACTCCCTCGCCTCCGACTGGGGCTTCACCAGCGAAAGCTACGACCCCGAGCCCCACAGACACGTGTTCGTCCTCCGCCCAACAACATGGACGCCCCCACCCTTCGGCACAGGGAACGGCACGACCACAATCGGCATCGGCGGCATGAGCGTCTCCGAATGCGTCAAGCTCCGCGAACGCGAACGCGTCAAAGAGCGAGACGCCCAGCGCGTCGCAGCAGCAGAAGCCAAAGCGCAGCGCGAGGCTGCCCGCGCCGCCCTCGGCGGTGACGGCGCCGGCGGATGGGCGCAGGTGGCTGCCGCTTCGGGTAGAAGGGGTGGACCTAGCGGGAGTAGCAGTCGGAGCTCGACACCGCTTGCGCCGCCTACGCCGGCGTCTTTTGGTGGCGCGACGATGTATGCTGCGCTTATGGGTGATTCTGCGGCGGCGGGGGCCGCGGTGGGTGCACAGCGGAAGAATAGGCTTGTGTTGAGGTCGGGTGTTGGTGCTGCTAGGCAGATTTTGAAACCCGAACCTGTTGCTGATAGTTGGGAGGAGGCGGAGGAGAAGGAGGAGGCGGAGGAGGAGAAGAAGGAAGAGGGCGAGGAGAAAGAATTGGCGGAAGAAGAGAAGGAGAAGGCAAGGGAAGTTCCTGATGAAGGTGATAACTTACCTGCGCCTGTGCCTGTGCCTGTGCCTGTGCGTGAGGATGTCGATGTCGATGCCGGCGCAGCAGGCGAGGGGTCTGGGGAAAAGACATCCACTTAGTTGCTTTTTTTTCACCCTTAGTGGTGGTTTGTTCGTTCTTTACTTTATCATATGTTGACGAAGTATGCAGCTAGTTATTCATGACCCCTAGCGAGCATTATTCGGCGCTGTCATTTCATTAGATGGAGTTATCATCAGTACTTTGCTTGATCGATTCATAGGTAGTTAACTGGTGTTGTACAACATCACATTAATGCATTGCATTGTTTATGACTTTTATATCCCAGCATAGATGCAGTGAACTATACTAGTAGATCATGCAGTACTGTGCTATCTTGAACCCACCCTCAATAAAGCTGTAAGGTAAAGTCAACGCTGAAGTTGACGTCCACGCGATACGCTTCCATCAGACGTAGCATACACATAGTATTCCTATAAACTAGCACTACGCACCTAGGATCACTAGGTCTATAAGTACGTATACCTCAAAGATATAACAATCCAACCGATACTGCCTAGGTACTATATCGTATATCGTGTATAGTTTACTTTCCAAAAGATATATAATAAAGATGAGAACTACCAACTAGGCGGCCTATCCTCCACCGCACGCCCCCAATTACTCTCCTCCTCCCCAAGAACCAACTCGAGCACGCCCCCGTGAGTGAAAAACTCATGACTGATCCAGCTTTTCTTGTATGGGTGGCCGTTGAGGGCTGCGCTTTGGATGAAAACTGGCTTGGCCGGTTTTTCTTCTCCTTTGAAAGACGAAGATGAAGATGAAGATGAAGAAGAGGACGAAGAAGAGGACGAAGAAAAGGACGAAGAAGAGGACGAAGAAGACGACGAAGAAGAAGAGGACGACGAGGAAGACGAGGAATTCGACGAAGACGACGAAGACGAAGACGACCAAGATGAAGACGGGGAAGAAGAAGAAGAAGAAGACGGGGAAGAAGAAGAAGAAGACGACGAAAAAGAAGACCCCCCCACAACCCTAACAACACCCACCCCCCCTGTAACAGGATGAACAAACCTAACCTCCTCAAAGAAAGGCGGCGTAATCAGATAAACACTCTGCCCAGCCGACGGAAATAGTCCCACCAGCGAAAAGAACGCGAAAGCACCCATCGCCCCGGAATCATCATTCCCCGGCAGCCCGCCATGCGAGGCATTAAACCGGGAGGGAATGTAAGAGCGCACGCGCGCCGCTGAGAGATCCGGTCGCCCCGCGTAGTGGTATTGGAAGACTGTTAGGAAGACGGGCTCGTTGCCGAGGTCTGCGAGGCCGGATTCGTGGAAGAAGTCGAGGCGGGAGGTGAAGGGGGTGTCGCCGCCGAGGGTTTGGATGAGGGTGCGCATTGAGTGGGGGACGTAGCTTTATTGATCATTTTTTGTTAGTAGGATTGATTATGGAGCTTGGAAAAGGGAGAGGGAGGTACAATTGATATTCCCACACGCTGGACTCGAACGTCTCAGAAGGATTGCTCGTCAACGAGCACCACGACGCCAGCGCACTGCACGCAATTGGATCCTGATACCCCCACGTCCCATTCCTATAGCGCGGTTGAAAAAAACCAGTAAACCCCGGATCAGAGCCATTGATGTTACTCGTCTGGTCGGCCCTGAACAGATTAATCCAGTTGCCTGAGCGCTGGAGGTACTTATCCGCGTCGGCGTGATGGCCCAGACCCCTCGCCACAGTCGCGACGCAAAAATCATTATAAGCGTACTCGACAGTCCGAGATATACTACGCGAGTTCGTCCCAAACCCCACGGGGTCGAAGTCCTTGTAGGGGATGTAGTGGAGGGATTTCCAGCTCGACAGCCCGCCTCGACCGTGGGTAGACCATTCGAGAGGCTCGTTCTCCGCATCGTTGACGAGCGCCTCGTATGCTAACTTCCAGTCGATGCCCGTGAGGTTCTTGACGAAGGCGTCTGCTAGGACAACATCCGCGTTTGACCCGCCCTGCGTCCAGCCCTTACAGAGACTCATGCGGCAGTCGGGGAGCCAGCCTTCGTGGCGGTATGTGTCGAGCAAGCTGCGGACCATGCGCGACTGCGCCTCGGGATCAACGATGGTGAGTAGTGGGTGTTGCGCGCGGAACGAGTCCCAGATGCAGTAGAAGGAGTCGAAGTACGGCTCGTTGCTGTTCCATAGCGGGTTTTCGCCTGTTAGGTCTTGGGGATCGAGCATTGTGCGGTAGAGACCGCTCCAGAACACCGTCTGTAACTCGCGACTGGCACGCCCGGGAACGACTGAGACAGGGCTCAACTTGTGCCGCCAGGCGTTTTCGGCGCGGCGGCGCACAGCGTCGAAGTCGGTTAGTGGGTTGGGAATCTCGCGGCGGGCGTTGTCGCACGCGCGCTCCGTGCTGATATAGCTGACACCCACTCGCGCAGTGACTGTCCCCGTGGGGGGTTGTTTGAAGCGCACGAACCCGCCTGCCTGGAGGTAGAAGTTGTTGAAGCCGCGGGGGACGAAGGGCAAGCGCTTGGGCTCGGTGTCCGCGCCGTCATTGACCCAGATGCCGGTATCGTGGATAGACGCGCCCGCGAAGTCGACGCATACGTAGGACTTGTATGTTCCGGCGCCGAAACTGGGGAGGAACGTGCCGTTGGCACGGATGCTGCCTGTCTCTGCGTCGATGTCGATCGAGGCGTTTTGGCGACTGTCCCAGAGGTTTGTGAGGTCTAGGAGGATCATGGGACTTGCGCTGTCTTTCGTCGGAGGGAAGTGAAAGCGGAAGAGCGCCGCGTGGGCAGTGCTCGTCATCTCAGCGCTGATACCGCTGTCGAGGCCGAGAGCGAAGTACCCCGGGCGGGCGACAACCGAGTCATTCTTATAGTGGACAGCGCGGTTGGCCTTAGGAAATTGACAGTGGTCGAGCCGATCATCGGGACAGAACTGCGGGAAGAGGGGAAAGTTCCCTAGGGAAGGGTTTCCACCTGTGCCTGAGTCGTGCAATGCAGAAAAGCCGGTTACTTTGCTGCCGTCTGTGGAAAATCCGCCGGTGTTTTGGCCGTCGACGTCAGCGACGGCTTTGGCCATGCCGTAGGGGAGACTGGCGCCGGCGAAGACGTTGCCTCCATCTGTGGAGCCGATGAGGGGGTCGACGAATTGGAGGATGTCATTGTCACTGCCATTGTGATCTGGAGGGGCACTGCCTTGGGCGAGGGCTGTCCAGAGGAGGGGGAGCCATGGGAGATAGCTGCGCATGGCCGTTGGGGGTGGAGATGGGATGAGAAAGTTGGTGATGTTGGATGTGGTCAAGGGATGGGGGGATTTTTGAACGGCATGCTGGAGATGCAGTGTAACTTTGATGTAGCTAGACAGGGAATCCGAATGGGGATGGATCGACAGAGATAGAGAATGCAGGATGATTCATTGGAGACAGAATTGAATGCGGGGAAATGTAACCCTTCGATCAAGGATCTGATCCTAGATGGTATAACAAATGTATTATAGTCATGAACATAATATACAACATGAATCCGTACTCATCACTATGTACTCCTTGCGTCAGTCCCTCTTCCACAGCACGGGTATCAAAAACATCCTCCACCCATATATACACGACAAACAGGGCCATCTACAAAACCGTCCCCTTGTTCTGCTTGCGATCGACGTTGTAGTTCTTCCAGATAGCAATAGCCGGAATCCCCAGCGCCAAAAAGGCAGTCGACGCGATCGCGCCGTACATCTGGCTCTGGCCCCACGCGTAGTTGATGGCGTCGCGGGTCGCCGATCCCAACGGGTACTTCCACTGCTCTAGATATCCGCCCATGAAGATCTTGCTCCAGTTCGGCTTCTCCTTGGCAGGGATCTTGCTCAGCAGCGCGTCAGCCCAAGTGTTGTTGTAGATAGCCGCAGCGACGGCTAGCCCGACAGCCCCACCCAGATTGTTGAACAGCTGCAGCACGGCGAGCATCATAGGCACGCCGTCGCGGTCGGCAGCCGCCATGACAGCCATTTGGTTGCCGATGACGATCGTACCGCCACCGAACGCGATGAAGATCTGGCACATGACCACGTAGCCGATGCCCTGCGCGGTGCCGCGGAAGTGGATGAGCAGTCCCGAGCCCAGGATCATGAGGGGCAGGCCAAAGAACAGACACGTGTTCTTGAAGTGGTGGGTGTAGCGGATCCACAGGCCGAACATGACGCCCCAGAAGCAGGAGCCAACGTTGTAGATCTGCAGCATGTAGCCGGCCATGTCGAGCTCCAGGCCGTAGACTACCTGACAGAAGACCATGAAGTACTGGTCCCAGCAGTAGAAGCTGAACCAGGAGAGCGCCGCCATGATGCACGCACCAAGAATCGTCCGGTTCTTCACCAGCTCGTAGCGGATGAAGTGCTCGCGCGCCACCCACTTCTCCCACGCTGCGAACACAAAGAATAGGCAGAATCCGATGACGAGCATGGCGATGAAAGAGGCTGATTTGTACTGCGCTTGACCGTACGACTGCAGACTGAAGGGGAGGAGGACGAGGATCCAGGCGGCCATGAGGATTGCGGCACCAATGACTGGATTCGGATTAGTACGAAAAGAAAAAAGACAAAAGAAACAGAAAAGAGGAACGTACTATCGAACATGTGAATGTAGTGGACGATAGACTGCAACACGGTGCGGGAGCTCCGTTCGCGCCGCAACAAGCCGGCCTTCTCGGCCTTGCGCTCGTAGTGCTTGAACACAAGGGCCAGCGGCGCGAACATGACCGGCTGGATGATGCAAAAGGCCCCGTAGGCCCAGCGCCAGCCGGGCCCGTTGACAAAGGCCTGGCCGGCCAAAGGGGCGGTAAATGCGGTACAGATGAATGGCGTCTGGGCAAAGGCGAAGGTGAAGGCTCGGTTCCGCAACCCGGAGGTATCGGCGATGAAGACGTCGAGGATGTAGTAGAGGGCCTCGTAGCCGACCCAGAAGATCGTGTAACCGGCGGCGTACGAATCCGGGTTGTCACAGGCGGCAGTGATGATAAGCCCGAGGGTGTAGACGCCGAGGAAGACGAGGAAGCCCTCGGCACGACCCCAGAGGTTGAGAATCTTGGCGATGGGCAAGCGGAGCACACCCCCGATGATGGTGTATAGGATGTTGGCGGTACTCACTTGCGGGGCGGACTTGAAGTTGGCGTAAACATTGTTGATGACGCTACTACTGATGCCCGACTGTAAGGCCAGCAAAAAGAAGCAGAGCCAGATCCTATCACCACTGTTAGTTGAGCTCCTTGACTAAGGACGATGGCTCTTACCAGGCATAGGTTGCAACCAGGGCCTTTTTGCTCCATACCAAGGCCATGGCCTCAGCCTTTTGCTGACCGAGCTGAGCATCTTGCGTCACCTGGTCGGGATGCGCTCGATTTTCCCGGTCATCGCGCGCCTCCAGACTCATCCGGGAGTCATCCGAGTCCGACTCGACAGGAGCGTCCGTGGGCGCCTCCTGCTTGGGGTAGACCTCACCCGAGAGATTGGTAGTGGTCGCGGCGGGCTTTTCCGAAAAACCCCGAATCTTGTCGACGACACCCATAGTGAAGAGTAGCGCTTGATTCCCACTTGACGATGTTGTCACGGAGAGGGAAAGCGAGGGTTAGAATCTCACGGCAAAGGGAGAGAGGAGGTTGGGGAGGGAAAGGACATGAAGGACGATTCCACCATGGGAAATCAACAGGATAGAAAAGTGTAAAAAAAAAAAAGGAAGGAAAAAAGGAAGAGAAGAAAAGAGATCGCGGACCAAGTGGGAGGGGAAATGAAATTAAGCAATCAGAAGGGCCGACGAGAAGAAGTTTGGATCGGCAGTGGAGAAGAGAGTTGAGAGAGTGAGGGAAATTTCCCCTGGACCGCATCAGACGCGGTGACGGATCAGATAGTGCTTGTCAGCCACGGATCAGATAACTGATTTCATCAGCTGAGAATGATCAATTAGTTCATCTCTTCTGAAATCCTCCGGTATCGTAGTATATCCTGGCAATTATTTCCGTCGGGTCTTTTCCTCTGCCACGGCGTCTCTAATTCCCTGCCCTCCCCCAGACTTGCACCCCAGCTCTATTTGGTGACATTGACCAGCGTTGCGGTCAACCTCGACAGATAACCGAAGGGAGCACGGTCGACCGGTTGCGGTAGTGGACGTGCCAGTCATCTCGTCAGAGACTGTACTATGACCCCACTCGGATCCACCAGTTGATTCGTTCCTGTGGGATCCCACGCGAGGCCAGTTGCATTCCATCCCTCAATCCTCCGGAACTCGGCATTCTAGTGGTCAAAAAGGTGATGTGATGTTGGATGACCAGCAATTCGATTTCATGGATGATTATTGGGTATGACCGCGGGGATTCCAACTCTCATGTATGACTATACGAGTTTCACTTTTCCACGGTGGGCCCGCTAAGCCGTGATTTCACATCAGGTCAAGACCAGAGGAGACTAGACGAGTTCCTTGGCAATCAGCCACTGATCCACTGAATTGGCACGGTGGTCTGATCGATATCTTTGGCTTCGGGGGGTGCGACCGCTGGCGATAAGGATATAGACATCGATCCAGATCGTTAGATTCATCAAGGATTCAATCATCCTCATCTTAATTATAATACTGTTCCCGATCACCATCATAAAAGAAAGATCCCCAAGGAGTGTGGTGGAGGTATCAGGATCCGACCGAATAAACTTCCATCAGATAAAAACCAGCCCATCTAATCTGATCAGATACTCCGATGGTCGGGCTTCTTTTCCACTCTCCTTCTGCCACCACCACAATGACCGCTACCACCAATCAGGATGATCCAATTGATTTAATCAAATTATAGTTTCATTGATGGCCACTGGTATGGCATTCCGATGCACTTAATCAGATCAATCCGTACGGACACCGCCCTGCCCAACGAGGCCCACACCACATAGTTTCGCTCAACTTGACCACAGTGAGAGTGGACCCGTCAGCCAGCAGAAACTCTGCTCATGACCACGGTTTCGTAGCCCCCTCATGGAGGGAATTTTTCGGAGAATCCACGGCTGCATCTAGAACGAGACATTTTCCGCCGCGTGCTCTATCTATGACCGATTTTTATGAACGGAATGAATCTTGTCAATATCTTTTTTTTAGGGCGCATTCCTCAGTCGTGAACAGCAATTGCTGGCGTTTTAACGCCTCAGTCTTTGTTGGCACTGCATATTGACAAGGTTTGGTGTGTTTATCGTGATGTCAACCCTCGGTCATGTTCGGAATATGAGGACGGTCAGACAGCCATCCCACCTTTTAGCGTCCACGCCATGGGGTTTCTGATCCACTCGACGCAGCTTGAGAGGATTCGTTAGATTGATTACCCCGAAGCTTGTCTTGCACGTCGGTTTAAAAAAGTGTGTCGTCGGTGGGTCGGCATACACCATACAAGAGACGGAACACGAATTATTCCACCCCTCGCGTCCGTCTGCGTGTGTCAGTGAGACACTCGGGTGGATGTATACTTAATTGATCCTAAGTTTTATCCGGCTCGATATTTTATAAAAGTCATCTATCCACCGATTCGACGCGGCCTGATGTCCTGCAGCATCGCATGCAGATCCAGCCAGAATGCAGACTGGTCCGGTTCGCCAGGTACCGGAAGACCGCCTCCACCCCTCCATTGGATGCCTTCAAGTGGTGAGACAGTAAGATGATTCAACTGTCTGTCTAAATCTCTCGAGTCTCCATCCGATAAACCCTCAACCTGTTGCTGTTGGTCTCCGCATCCCAAAAACTACGCCAACTGGCGAACGGCTGAGTCAGACGATCGGCCAGAACGTCCCGGATTCCCCCATGTTGTTTTCCCCTGCCGGAACGGAGTTCGACTTTCGTCTCCAATTTTCCCCAGACATTCTTGATCAGACGGGCTTTGCCGTCCATTCTTCTGTTCGACAGTGCAGACAGGACGAACGCATTCACGGATTGACTCTCGATAACCTGTCAGGGCCTGTCCCATCCCCTGGGTGTGTCTTCCAATCAAACCCGTCTCGTTGATAATCGTCGCGACCAAACCTAATTCATTGATCGGGTCGCCCCCCATACGTCATTTCTCCGATCCCCTGTCTGAATGCCCTCCCGTCGCAGTCATACCAAGTCCCGCAGGGGATGTTTACACTGTAAACGGAGACATGTCAAGGTAGCTCGCCTCGGTCTTTCTCTTCTGTCACTGCGGAGACGGGACTGGTCATCCACGCGACGAGACCGTCCTCCGTGTCTGCCATCACCCGTTACCCGATCGGTTCTGTCAGATATTAACATCAATCCAGTGCGACGAAGGGTCTCCCAAGTGTGGACTGTGCCGCAAGCGCAAGCTTGAATGCATCTATCCCCCGCCCGGTTCGAGCGACGGTGATACGCGACCGCCGTCCACCCCGCGAGAGGGCGGGGAGGAGGCCGCGGCGCCCGCGGAGGAGCTGTCGCTGCCCACGCGAATGCTAGAGATGCGATTATTCCACCACTACCTCACCGACACCTACACCACCCTCCTGCAGGCCAACCTCGGCCCGGACCATTTCCAAATGGTCGTGCCGCGACTGGCTATGGGGGCCCCGTTTCTGCTGGACAGTCTTCTCGCGCTGGCCGCGCTGCATCTGGCAACGCGGGAGCCCGACGACAAGGGGACGTGGTTGGAGGCGGCGCTCAAGTACCAGAATCGCGCGTGCTCCGCCTTTAGTCGGGTCCTGGCCGAGCTGACGCCGGAAGAGAGCGGGCCCGCCTTTATCTGCTCCATCTTCATCATGCTATGCGCCACCGCCTACCCCTGCATCTCGCAAGACAGTCACCTCCACGCTTTTGACCCGCTGACCCAAGTGCTCGAAGTGCGCCGCCTGATGGCCGGTTGCGCCTTGTTGTTCGGGCAGCTGAACGACGTGGAACACGTCGGGGAGCTGCGCGGCTGGCTGGTTTACAAGAACGAGGGAGCGGGCGGGCCCGGACACATCCCCATGTAGGCGGCATCCTCCCTTGTATCTTTCCTATGGAAAGGAAAAACCACTCTAACCACCAACCCTAGACCCATGGACCCCAATCTTGTGCGACTTAAAGAGTACGTCATGCGCTCTTTCCCCCACCCCCTGATCCCTCGATACTGACCCCGGTAGAGCGCTGCACAAATCCCTCGAGAAGCTCCAGCTCGCGATCGACAAACTGGACGAATCCCAACGAGCCGGTTACCGGAGGGCGTGTGCCCTCCTGCAGGAAGCGACCGCGCGATGGCCGATGGGATATCCCAACGGGGGGTTCATCGCATGGCCGGTCAACATCGACGAGGCGTTCCTCTCGTGTCTGAAGGACGGGCACTGGATGGCGCGAGTGGTGTTCCTGCACTACGGAGTCGGCATGCATCTGCTCTCAGAGAACTGGTATGTCGGTGACTGGGGCCGACGCATGGTGGCCGCGGTGCTGCAGGGCGCGGGGGATATTCCATCCACGTGGGCGGAGACTATCGTGTGGACGCGACAAGCCGTGGGGTTGGAAATAGAAGTAGATACGAATTGAATGACAACAGCCAACCAACCACTTGAACAGCCATAGTGTCAGACGTGTGTAGACCGGATACCTTGTCCGTTCTCGTCTTTATTTACGAAATGAGATCCAGTCAGACTGAATGAATTTGGGTGTGGTGATGCACGATGGAGATGGGATGGGGTCAGCCGATAGATCGCCAGATATGCAATGCTATCCCTATCCCGTATCTCACCAATAGACTCGCAAAAATTGAGGAATCGAAACCACGGTGAGATTCGCGTGTTATCTCCAGATATGTAAACACCAGAGACGCCTTATCGGCCTTATCTCCTGTCAAACCTGTCAGAACGACCACACGACCCCAATGTGTCCATCATCCCCGCCGATCCCTCCCTCTCCTACTGACAAGCGATCGGGTCCGATTCTTCCAATCCGGCCCTCTCTCCCCATTAGCGGTCAACGGAAGGAATCAAGGAGGAAAGAAAAGAAACATAAATGGCCCACGATGCTCTTTGTGCGGGCTCAAACCCCCCTCACGCTCTTTGTCCACCGTGACAGCGAATCCGCCGATTTCTCGAACTAGACCCCAAAAAGGAGACTCCGTTGATAATACCCCCCAACGGTATTCGCTCAAATCGCCGATCGTCCTCGCGCTAGGATCTCTCCGATGGTACGCTACCTACACTTAGACATAAGGAAGCGGCGGTAGTACTCCGACAAGCCGAGCACGGCACAGTGGTGAGCGCAAGCGCAATGCGCTCGCGCGATCGCGAGAGGGGATGGGACCGGGGCTACGGGGTGGAGAAGCAGGTTTGTTTGTCTGGCTGGCTGGGATACAATTAGCAGCTACCCCCCTGCAATTGCTGGTCTATGTTGTTATTTTCTTTCTCCTCTTTCTCCTCTCGTTCTGTTCATCTTTCTTCTTCATTGAGCGCTGTACTCCTGACACTGTGCTACATATAGCCCCCGCACGCTTGGTTCGCATCGCAGTCCGACCGTGCGCACACGGGTAAACAAAGGAGAATGTTTCGTCTTTTGAGGGCTGCCTTTGCGGGCTCCCTGGGTCTGGCACTGCTGCTGCTGGTTCATGTCCCTGGGGTGGTGCCGTCGCCGTTGCTCGCCGATCCCCTGGTATCTGCGCGTGGGCCGAAGGCGCTGGGGTCGGTTGGGCCTGGTCAGCGGGGTGCCGTGGCGAGCGAGAGTGAGCTTTGTAGTCGCCATGGGACGGAGATGCTTTTGATGGGTGGGAATGCGGCGGATGCAGTGAGTTCTCCTGTGTTGGTTTGGACGGTTCGCGGCTAATCGGAGATATAGATGGTTGCGACGACGTTTTGTATTGGTGTAGTCGGTTTGTATTTCCAGGCCAGAACAGAGTGGGTAATGCTAATCATGTATAGGAATGTATCATAGTGGCATCGGAGGAGGCGGCTTCCAATTGATCAAAACACCTGATAACCAGTTTGAATTCATTGACTTTCGCGAATCGGCCCCTGCGGCGGCCTCTGAGAACATGTTCAAGAATAAATCCGATGCGTCTACGAAGGGTGGCCTTGCCAGGTGAGATTCTACCGACAGGTCTGCCAGACTTTAGTTCCACGGGTCTAATGTGCAATAGTGGCGTCCCCGGCGAGCTGCGCGGGTTGGAATATCTCCACAATAAGTACGGCTCGCTCCCCTGGTCGACGGTGATGCAGCCCGCCATCCAGACCGCACGTCAGGGATTCCCCGTCACCGAAGACCTGGTGCGCTATATGAAATCTGCAGTCGGAGATGACGAGGACTTCCTGTCCAAGAACCCGACGTGGGCGCTGGACTTCGCCCCCAACGGCACCCGTCTCGGTCTCGGGGACACCATCACGCGTCGACGCTACGCCGACACGCTGGAGACGATTGCCAAACACGGCGCGGAGGCCTTCTACTCGGGCCCAATTGCAGAGGCGACGATTGCGGCTCTGACAGCCTCCAACGGCACGATGACTATGGAGGACCTGCGCAACTACACGGTGGCCGTCCGCGACGTCGCGCAGATCAACTATCGGGGTTATAAAGTGTCCAGCGCGACGGCTCCTTCGTCGGGGATAGTGGTTCTCAACGTGTTGAAGGTCCTCAACATGTACGACGAGTTCTTTACCCCGGGGAATGTGAATCTCAGCACGCACCGCATGGATGAGGCGATCCGGTTTGGCTATGGCCAGGTATGATGATGAAACTTACTTGGTGCTGAGGACGGCTAACTGACTCATTCCCAGCGGACCAACCTGGGAGACCCGTACTTCCTCGACGGGTTGGATGAGTACCAGAAGAAGATGCTGTCCGACGCCACGATCAAGGAGATCCATGGTAAGATCTCGGACACCAGGACCCAGAATGCGTCGGCCTACGATCCCGATGGACTCGAGAGTCTCAACACGTAAGTTCCCTCTGCCCCCGTAAAGATTCCTATTGCTAACACGCCCAGACCGGGCACGTCACACATCGCAGCCGTGGACCACACTGGCCTCGCCATTTCCGAGATCACCACCATCAACCTCCTCTTCGGCAGCAAATTGATGGTCCCCGAGACAGGAATCATCATGAACAACGAGATGGACGGTATGGGCCGCGTTATCCTCTATGTCCACCTAGAACTAAACTAACCACCCAACCCAGACTTCTCAACCCCAGGCTCCTCCAACTCCTTCGGCTACATCCCCTCCCCCGCGAACTTCATCCGCCCCGGCAAACGCCCCCTCTCATCCATGACCCCAGCGATGGTAACCCACCCCAACGGAACGGTATTCTTCATCGCCGGCTCCGCCGGCGGAAGCCGCATCATCACCGCCACACTACAGAACATCATCCACGCCGTGGACGAAGGCATGTCCGCCGCGGAAGCGCTGGCGCAGCCCCGTCTCCACGACCAGCTCATCCCCAGCGAGGTGCAGTTCGAGTATTCTTATGACAATTCCACTGTCGCTTTCATGAAATCCCTCGGCCATAATGTTACTTGGCTGGCACCGGGGGAGAGCTCCGCGCAGGCGATCCGTCGGCTTCCGAATGGGACGTTTGATGCTGCGGGTGAGCCGAGGCAGCTGAATTCGGGGGGGATAGCCGTTTAGGTGTAGATATTGATGACATGAGTAGATAAATAGTGTTATACATAAGGTCATTGACTGTTGTTAACATTATGTTAATGAGAGATATTGATTTTACTATTTTACCTGTTTCATTTTCATTTCTGCTTTTCGTAGTTTACCTATCCACTGGATAGAGCAAAAGTGACGGATCAATTCCGGACACGACCCGTATCGCGAAGTGGTCTGTGCTCCCGCGTTTTCTGGCGTCAATCACTCTATCTCTACTTCCAACTGTGTACTTTCCTACAGAAACATTGTCCAGCTCTCCCTTCAGCTTCAACTTCAAACAAAACAAATAATATCTTCCATTTATCCATTCACTTTCTCTTCCATCCTCTGACAAGTAAGCTAGTCAGCCGCCCTTGCTGGGAACCTTAGCTTAACTTAGCTCTCATGGGCCACAGAGCTCTAGCTGCCAGCTGCAACTTCCAGTTATGGCCGTGAAACGGTCTCCTGGTGAGTGATTGGCTTTATTTATTCCCTCTAGTAGTCACCTTTACGCCAAACAATCACTGACAGATGTCTTATTCACAGTGTTTGTTGTGTTTTCCAACCCATTTGATCTTCTGACCATGTGCGACGGTCGTTTCTTCCTTTCTTTCTCTACCGATTCATAGCTTTCTTCCTTTCCTGTCGGCTATAACTTCGTCTTTTGAATCGATTGGATCAACTACTACACTGGAGTCTCGAAGCTACCAAGCAAATACACCCGAAAACTCCGTTCTGCAGAACCACACTAAAGCGACAATAACAACATGGAGCCCAGCACCGACAGAGTCTCCGTCGTGGTCTCTCCCCCACGTATCGACCTCACCCTGTTCGAGTCGTTTGACGAAGAAGTGGAGCGCACGGTGGATGAGATCCTCTCTGACCCGAGCGTCGAGAGTAACTTTGACGACTACAGTCATGGAGGTGATGTGGGTGGAATGGTGGATGGAAGTCACGATGATGGTTTGGCTGCTGCGGCGCCGGAGGAGCGTTCGGTGAAGCGGTTGAAGAAGCGCCATCAGACTCGCTCACCGTATTTTGCTACCGAGTTGAAAGGCATAAAGAAAGGGCCCGTGGCGATGAGGAATATTACGAGGATGAGCAGTGCGGAGGCGGAGGAGGAAGAGGACGAGGTGGAATTGGAATCGGAAGAGGATCAGGAACAAGAGGTACACCGACGAGGGCGACGCAACCAGGACAAGCACCAACCCGAGCGATCGTCCAGCTGCGACATTATCGAAGTGCGAAAGATCCCCGATAAGAAACCGCAACCCAAAACCCCGGCTCCGGCCAATGCAGACGAAGACGACTACGTCTTGGAAACCCTGGAGGAAGGCCAGAGGGACAGACTAGTGTCCTTTATCACCTCGCACTCGTTCGTCACCAACCCCAAATACCGTGCGAAGCGCAAGAAGTGGCGGCGCTTTGTGTCCGACTTGCGAAAAGAGGCTGGCCTGGCGAATGTTGAGAAACCGACTATTCGCCGACTGGAAAATTATGTCAAAGGGCTTTGTCGCGATATGCAGAAGACTGCCACGACGGAGAGGGAGGCCTCGACTAGTGGGGATGGTGGACGGGAGAAGTCGTCGAAGAGGTCGAAGGAAAAGCGACGTCGGGAAGACGAACATTCTAGGGAGAAGGCTAAGAAGGAGGATAGTCCTAGGAAGAAGGCCAGGAAAGATGATGATCCTGGGAAGAAGGACAAGAAAGACGATAGCCCCAGGAAGAAAGCCAAGGAATCGAAAAAGAGCAGCTCATCTACTCCTGCCGCGGCGGCTGAAAAGCAGAACAAACCTGCGCCCGAAATCATCAATCTGGACAGCGACGACGAACCTGTGGTTGTCTCTGCGAATTCTTCGTCTCATTCTCCCGACATCAACGTGGGGTACAGGCCGATTGTTCGCCGTGCCGTATCCCGTCAGCCCACAAGTGAGTCGGTACATGGGGACGTGAATGAGGAGCCAGAGGTGCCTTCCAATGATGCAGATCCTGTGAAGAACGATAATCCCCCGGAGGCGGTCGCTCCTGCGAATTTCCAGATATACGAAACTAGCAATGAAGAGAATACGCCCTCTGCCAGACGTGCGAGCACCCGCTCGTCAGACCATTCAACCTCCCTGGCCAGCCACAGTCGCCGCAAAGAAGAAGAGCGTGAACTACGAAGGACCCGTCGGAGGAACAAACGCCAGAAGTCAACAAAGTCCAAGAAGTACCGAGACAGTCTTACTAGTCAACGTTCCGAAATGGAAGGCCGGCAGACCCCTGGTGTCAGCCCCGAGCCACAACCGCTGCTTCGAACGCCGGAAAAGCAGTTGAATCGCACAGCCCTCCGGCCCGACCCCGATACCCCTGTCATGGAAGATCCTTACTGGGACATGGATTTTTAACACCCGATGATTCGCTGGAATTGACCATCCGCGATGAGGTGAGGTCTAAATATTTTCATAACATACGCATTGGCAACGGGAGCCCGACGATACCCGCCGCAACTCGGGAAATCATGACAAACTTGGGGTTGCCAGGGGACTTTCTCTCGTCAGATTCGTCCTTGAGTAACGCCCCTCGCAGCAGCACGTTATTTACTCCACCATCAACGCCTGTAAGGGATCGTCCTGATCTCAGGGATCTGATTCCAAACAGGGACTCCTCGGCGCCTGTCAAGCCACCGCGTCTCAAGCTTCCCAAGATATCCCCGTATTTTCCATCCGCATCGGCAGCGTTGGAATCCTGCCTTCCTTTCCCGCCTATTGATGATTCCTCTTTTGGGTTGGTTCAAGAACAGCTCGCCCACGACCCTTTCCGCCTGCTTATTGCGACTATCTTTCTCAATCGGACCCGTGGAGCCGTTGCTCTGCCGGTTCTCTTCCAAGTTTTCGACCAGTTCCCCACCATTGAGTCCATGGCAACCGCGGATCCCATCTCTCTGGTTTCCATGATTCGTTGCCTGGGCTTCCAAAACCAGCGGGCGAAGAAATGTATCGGTCTCGCGCAGACCTGGCTGGCCCACCCGCCTAGTAAAGATAAGCGGTACCGAAAACTGCACTACCCTTTCAAAACAGACGGCCGAGACGTTGGTCAGGAAGAGTGCATCGACTATGACGATCCCCGTGTGGCTTGGGAGATTGCTCATTTACCCGGTGTGGGGGCGTACTCCATCGACAGCTGGCGTATCTTTTGTCGCGACGAACTGAGAGGTCGGGCTGCGGACTGGAAGGGGCGCGGCGCTGCGGAGGACGATTTCGTTCCGGAATGGAAAACCGTTCTTCCCCAGGACAAGGAGTTGCGCGCCTACCTGACGTGGATGTGGCTCAAGGAGGGCTGGGTGTGGGATCATCATACGGGAGAGCGAACGCCCGCGAGCGAGAAGACGATGCACGCTGCCCGTCTTGGGGGAATAGCGCACGAAGAAGACGGAAACTGGGTTCTTCAGACTTCGCCGGTTAAGAAGGTCGCCAACGGATTGACTATGGGGAGCTCGGTTTGATTGCCTGTTTTGTTATCGTCATCATTACTATTGTAATTGTTTGGATCTGGAGTTTGCTATGGTTGGGATTCAGAGTGGGATTAATTGCGCATGCATTGCATGGTTTCGGATTCGGATTAGACTTTATCAGCGCAGATACCCTTGAAGCTATCAGTCAGTTTAATAGGAAAGCAATGACTATTGCATCCTTTCACTTTGAAGAGTATGACCGTGGTGGTGACTGTCTCCATATCTACGGCAAGCCATTGCGGCCACTCTGCAACAACTCCACCCGCGATTTTTCTGCCGGCAGTACTAAAATAGGTGTAGAGCAGTAGTAGTATCTTTTATAAAATTATCTTATAAATGAAGCTATTCAAAGATATATATATATATTAACTTACTTAGTTTTACTAAAGACTACTTATCCTGAGTATTATATAATAGTATAAGTTATTACTCAGGTGCTACAGATATTCTTTATAACTAGGCTATACTAGTATTAAGATCCCTGAAGAAATAAAAATATTATATATATTTAAAATAGGATAAAGTAATTCTTATCTCTCTTCTCTCTATTTAAGTTAATTAGATTCCTCTTCTTATCTTCTTTAGGATCTAAGTTAATTAGCTTCTAAGAGAAATTAATTACCTATTAGAGTTCTTCTTCTTATATAATATAATTTCTAAGATTTTATATATTCTACTAATTCTTATTATATACAGAGTAATAGACTATCTAGTCTAGTTATTTATAATTAGTATATACTTCTCTAAATACACCTAGAATATAATAATATTTAGAAAATATATATATATCTAAATATTTATAATAGCTAGTACAGGATACAAGTAATATATATTTATATAATTATATAAGAATAGCATGAATATATAAAGGATATTATCTCTTAATTTAATATAAAGTAATCTTATTATAATTAAAAGTTATATCCTATCCTAGAAGACCAAGAAGCTAATATCTAATATATATATATATATACTAGCCTAGAAGATTATAATTCTTTAAAGAGAGAATAAGATTATTATTAATAATAAGACAAGTATATATATAGTAGAATTATATCTTTATAAATATAATTAAGAAAAGAAGATATAAGAAGACAAGTTTATTAGAATAATAACTATTATATAAAAATTATAAATTAGTAATATTTTTTAAAGCTATATAAACTTACTAAGTTATTAAATTTAAA